ACCCAACCGCTGCACCAGACTGTGGAGGACCTGCGTAGCTCCTTCAGCGGCAGGCTCCGGCATCCACAATGCAGGAAGGAGCGCTACCGCAGGTCCTTCCTCCCATCCGCCATAAGACTGTTTAACTCCCTACATTGATTACCTGCACCCTTCACTGCCACTTTTTTAGTGCAATATGTATATTTTCTTGTTTATAATGTATATTTTTTTCTAAAGGTTTACTTTAATTTTTGAGTGCTCTTTGCTTTTTAGTTCTTTTTTACTCTATTTATTGTGTTAACTCCTCTTCTCTCTTTTTCTGCACTGCCTACTGTACTAGTATGTTTCCCCCAAGGGGGATGAATAAAGCCCTACTCTACTCTACTCTACTCTACTCTTTAGGGCTTTTCTAACTTAATCCTTTCTAATCTGATCTACCTTCTTCATAATAGTTTCTGGCTCCTCATTCCTATGTTCCCTTTCATTTTCCACATTCAACAGCTCCTCAAAGTACTCCTTCCATCTTTTCAGCACACTTTCCTCACTTGTGATTACGTTCCCATCTCTATCCTTAATCAACCTCACCTGCTGCACATCCTTACCAGCCTGATTTCTCTGTCTCGCCAATCTATACAATTCATTTTCTCCTTCCTTTGTGTCCAAACTCTCATACAACTCCTCATATGTCTTTTGTTTGGCCTTAGCCACTTCCCTCTTTATCTCCCTTGTCCTCTCTTTGTACTCTAGTCTGTTCTCTTCTGTTCTCTCACTGTTCCATCTCTTCTTCGCTAATCTGTTTCTCTGCACACTCTTCTGGACCTCATCATTCCACCACCAGGTCTCTTTGTCTTCCTTTATCTGCCCAGAGGACATACCTAGCACCTTCCTACCTGTCTCCCTAATCACTGCAGCTGTAGTCTCCCAATCATCTGGGAATTCCTCAACACAGCCCAGATCTGCCCTTATTTCCTTCCTGAAGTCTTCACAACATTTCTCTTTCCTTAGTTTCCACCATTTGATCTTCTGTTCTGTATTCCCTCTTTTCTTTTTTTTCACCTCCACCGTTATCTTGCACACTACCATCCAATGTTGTTTGGCTACACTCTTGCCTGCCACCATCTTACGGTCTCTAATCTTCTTTGAATTACCTCTTCTACATAGAATATAATCTATCTGTGTGGACCTGCCTCCAGTCCTTCTCTCAAGTTTCTCTCCCTAACACCAAACCTACCCATCACTTCCTCATCACCTCTGTTCCCTTCCCCTACATGACCATTAAAGTCTGCTCCAATCACCACTCTCTCCCCTGGGGATGCTCTCTATCACCCAATCCAGCTCCTTCCAGAACTTCTCCTTTTCTCCCAACTCACAGCCCACCTGTGGGGCATAACCACTGACAACATTCATCAACACTCCTTCTATTTCTACCTTCATACATACAGTATCAACCTGTCTGACTCTCGTTTCTACTCCACCACATTTCTCTCATAGTCCTCTTTTAGGATCACCCCTACTCCATTTCTCTTCCCATCCAAACCATGATAAAACAGTTTGTAGTCTCTTCCAATGTTTCTAGCCTTGCTGCCCTTCCACCTGGTCGCCTGCACACACAAAATGTCTACTCTTCTTCTCTCCATCATATCAGCGAGTTCTCTACTCTTCCCTGTAATTGTACCTACATTCAGAGTTCCAAACTTCAGACCAACACTTCTATTCTTCATCTTTTCTCTTTTTCTCCTAACCAAACGCCCTCCTCTTTCTTCTCTGTCTTTGACCAACAGTAGTCCAATTTCCATCAGTGCCCTGTAGGTCAACAGCACTGTTGGCGGTCATTTTTGACCTGGGCCCCGACCGATCCGGTATGGAAAACGTTTTAATTCGCATTCTTTGATTTGGCAAAGGTTTTACACCGGATGCCCTTCCTGATGCAACCCTCACCATTTATCCGGGCTTGGGACCGGCACTATAAAACACTGATTCGTGTACCCTAGTGGCTGGTTTCTGTGTCTGCTGGTTGGTTGCCATCTGGCAATCTGACTTCCATATCTACATTTGCAGCAACTTATTTTAAAGATAGAAAACATTAGAACATATACTCATGTATACTCATGTTTTTAAATTGTTTACAGGTATAGAAAAGGGTGGGCTTTTTAAAATTTGCGATCTAAAAACCATCCATCCATTTTCATCCGCTTATCCGTTGCGGGGGCAGCAGTCGCCACCCAAATCACATTGCACCGTATCAACCCCCCTAAACCTTCCTGCGGGTGGTGAGTCCACTGGAAGGTATCAACCGCCCTAACCAGGATTCGAACTTGCCCAGGAGGTGAACCCTGGGGTTCCACACCAATGACAGAGCCTCTGGGCCAAAGTGCCACAAATTGACTAATATTGAAAACAATAATTCTTCTACCATCACCTTGTACTCATAGAGCAAGTACCAAACAGAAAAAATATTGCAGATTAAATAAATAAAGCCAAAAGATGCACGTGTTTAATGTTTTATTTTAACTGCAGCAGTGGAAATCTGCATTTCATACAAATACATTTACAATTTTAAATTCTAACTTGTGAACATTTGCATTATGAAAATATACAGCCTGCATGCTGTTAATACTCGGGAGCAGCAGTAACCAAATGTGATCAGTGATGTGGATCCAGCAAGAATCACAAAACAAAACACCGCATGTGAAGGAATAACAAACAGCACAGAGGCAACACCAGTGCATCACAAAATGAAAAAAAAAAAGTCTGCACGTGTTCACTCATGCTGACAAGAATTAAATTTACAACCACTAAACTTTGGACTTAATTTACCGGACTACTGTCTGTAACCTGAAGCTTTCAGCAATAAGTGCACACAGCTGAGTGCAAATGTCTAGCCTCCTTAAAATTATTTTCCAAACATTACTGGTTTATCTGGAAAGCTTTCATTCTTTCCATTTCGACACTAAAAATATTTTATGAATCTAAGAAAATACCTTTTTTCCCCTTTTGAATATAGTATAATGTCACTTTTCTAAATCACTTTTTGTCTTGAAACTGTGAGTCAAATGTCAAAACATTCTAATTTAGGCACCAGGTTTCTTCAGAGCCCCAACATACATGCACCCACAACATGTATGACTTTCACACTCACACACACTCGGGCATGCACACAGACATCCCTGCTCTGCAAAAATAATATATTTTTATAGTTTTCTTTCTCTTCTGATCTGTGTTGTGGCAGTGCTATTTTGTCCTGAGGACTAACTACTGTCTCTCGTTACCATGTAATGAGAGCACTCTGTATTTCCTGTCACTCCTTAACCTGTGGAAGAAAAAGAGCTGAATCCTCTTTCAGTGACCACTATAACGCTTGTATCAACACGAAGCTGTGAGTCACTTACAAGGAGAAAAGCTACAGATATAATATAATCTAGGGCCTCTTTTTATCTCATCTTGTGTCTCCCAGACACTATTAACTTCTTTGTCTGTCTGTGTCTCCCTCAACACAGCCAGTGTAAATACAAATGAAAAGCATGTCCTGTGGAGAGCACCAGCTCCACATATTACAAACAGAAGGTTTTTCCCCACTATCCCTGAACACCCCCAACACTAGTAGTACAGTACACTCGTATTCATAGTGTCATTTAGGGGACTCACATTCATCACCATCAAGCTTCTCAAAATACAGACTTCTTGTCATCTTTTCAACATCAACATTTTACTACAGTCTCCTTTCGTGTCATCCTGTGTCTTATTCCTGTCTTTTATGAATAAAAAGGCAAAAAAATGGAACGCAGCAGACACATCATTGATTTAGGTCATTGAAGTGACGACTACCCGCTTTCCCCTTTTCAGAAAATAAAGCTTACTCGGGGAGGTGAAAGAAGGAGAAACTAGGTTTTGGTCCATAACACGACTGCTTTCAGTTCTTTAAGTTTATGCAACTCATGCTTCAGGGGTTCCAGACTGCATTGAGAGTCTCCACTCTCAATGCGCACCTTCTGCGCTGGGGTGGTGTCTTGCTCTGCTATGATCATGATGGTGTTCTCATCCACAAGCTCGCAGGTGGAGTTGGAAAAGGCAGAGAGGGGCAACGTGATCCTCTGCATCTCCCGCTCATGTACTCTCTGGTCATGCTGCTTCCTCAGGTCCCTCCCCCTTAAAACAAAGGATGACAATCTTTGAGCTAGCGTTCAAAATTGAGCCATTTAAAACATCCATCCATCCATCAATTTTCATCCGCTTATCCGTCATTGGGTCGTGGGAGCAGCAGTCTCCACGACCGCCACCCAAATCACATTGCACCGTACCAACCCCCCTAAACCTTTCTGCGGGTGGTGAGTCCACTGGAAGGTACCAACTGCCCTAACCGGGATTTAATCTTGCCCAGGAGGTGAACCCTGGAGTTCCACACCAATGACAGAGACATTGCCTCTGGGCCAAAGCGCCACCCATTTAAAACAATTTTAGTAAATATTTGTTTTACATTTTTGTAAAAAATAAAGCAATGTGATCTTGAGTTCTTCGATTAGATGCAGCTGTACTGTTTTAAAGGTAGGATACGTAGGAAATTATGAGAAGAAAATATAAAGCTATAAAAATGGAAGCGCCATGGTATTTAAATGGACCCATGGCGTGTGCAACACAACCCTTTGCGGGTGTATTGTCTTTTTGTTTTTGGACATTCATCCAAAAATGTGTTTAGCATTCATGACATTTTAAAGGTTATATTACAAATCTATATTTGCAAAGTATAACTAACGTCAAACTTCACTTTATCTTTTTTCCTTTTTAAATTAAAATCTCTTCCTTTAATTAATCGATATTCCATTTTGTTTTTGTTCAGTAGGTGACAATCGTCATTTATGTTGTTCTGTTTTTAGTTTGTCACCCAGAGAAAAAAAGAAAAAAAAAGAAAACGATATCCAGATGATACTCTATATATGCGTAAGAAAGTCTCTGAATCTGTTGGAGAGTTTATCTCCTCAAAGGCTACAGTGATGCGAAGCAGTGTGAGGCCACTTTCTACTGATCTGTGGCCAAAACAGACTCCTGAAAACACCTCCTTATACCAGTCTGCTGCATGGAGTGATGACAGTTTATATATATATATATAAACCGTATATTTTACATGGTGCAGGTTACACTGGCAACAGGTCTAGTCTGTCATTACAATGTGTATTTAACAGTCACTATATTGGGAACACCTGTGTTACTGTACTTTACTGCAAATACAGTCCCCTCCAAAAGTATTGGAACGGCAAGGGCAATTCCTTTGTTTTTGTTGTATACTGAAGACATTTGGGTTTCAGATCAAAAGATGAATATGAGACAAAAGTTCAGAATTCCAGCTTTTATTTCATGGTATTGACATCCAGGT